ACCGAGGATACAAATATCGCTAAGAAGCATAACATTAAAAACTATCCACAGTTGGTATTCTTTAGAAATCGTGATCCATTGGTATTTACAGGCGATTTGGATGATGAAGATGAGGTGTTGGCGTGGATCACCGATGAAGATACACTGGAGATACCCGGTAAAATTGAGGAAGTAAATACCAAAATGTTGGATAAGATATTGTCGGAAAACGACCATGTTGTGGTGTTCTTCTGTAAGTGCGAGTTGAGTTTGTTTGTTGCTGGAGATATGTGTAATAAATGTTGGTTTTTCTCCATTGAACCTATAGATCGCGAGGGTGATAAGCGCTCACAAAAGATACTCAATGAATTGGAAAATATTGATGACGAATGTGAGGAGAAGGACATTGATTTTATCAAGACTTCCGATCCGGATGTGGACAAAGAATATGATTTGGCTAGTTTGCCAGCATTGGCATTCTACAGACACAAATTCAGAACAATATACGATGGTAAGTGCGCGGAGGAGTAACGGCGCTAAAGGAAGTTTACTTCATTGCTATTTCCTGTTTATTTTAGGTGATCTCATGAAGGAGGAGGAAATTCTGGATTGGGTTATCGATCTGCATGAGTCGACGGCTGATGTTATCGAATCTGTGGATCGCAAAACTTTGCAAGTGCTGATCAATGACGTCGAACACTTGGCGGTCTTTTTCTGTAAGTTGACTCGCGCGGAAAAAGCTAGACTTCTTCGTTTTACTAACTAAAGTCTTGACAATCTAATAGATGACGATAAATGCGAATCGTGTCCACAAATCTTGGAAGAATTGGAAACCATAGACGATGATACGGACAAGCAGGGCATACAATTTGTCAAATCGAACGATGTGAAGTTGGCGCACGAAATTGGTATTTTCGCATTCCCCGCCTTAGTTTACTACGAGACAGGCGTTCCAATCATGTATGATGGTGAGTTTGAGAAAAAAGTTTTTGAATTGAGACCGATTAGATGCTAAGTATCTTATGTTTCTTTTCTTTTTTCGCATATATATAGGTAATCTCAAAAATGAAAACCGTGTGTTGCAGTGGTTGATCAATCAAAAGAGTAAGTGTTC